AAAGACTTGGAAGAAGTCGCATGCTTGAAAATATGGATGAGAATGTGTTAATTTATTGACACACCCTGCAGACCACGTGAGACATCTAAGGCATCAGCGTTAGATGTCTCGCATGATCTGCAAGGTGGGTCAATAGGTACCGAAACGACTTTCCTGTTATAAGGGCACTCATGAACATCTCCTGTGTCGGTCTGTCTTCCCAGTGTTCAATATAGTCAAATGGTTAGAAATTAATCTACGAAGAAATGTGGTTGCAGGGTAACGTCAGGTCATTACACTACATATGGTCAACGAGACGGTCATTGGTACCACTTCAATGATGCTTCCGTAAAAGCATGCTCTGAGCAAACGGTGCTCAAGCAGAAGGCTTATTTGCTGTTCTACACACGATCGCCTCGAAGTCGCTCATAACAGAGGTGACGGGCGTGATTCGATCTGAGTCCGTCAAAAACGAAGGAACGTGAGCGGTTTATGTCGATGAATGTGGCAGCTGAATGAAGGATACCGTATCGAGGTTTCCTTATTGTTCTTTTCGGGAACGATACGTATCCTTCGTTCACATAGACTTAGTCATTCACGTGAGCGGTTCACATAGTTTCAATGAGTGATCCCTCCTCTGTGAGTGTAGTTTTAGTGTAAGGATTACCACCATGCGGGTGTATCATGAATGTGCAAATCTTAGAAAGCAGCAGCCGGTCTCACTACGTTTTAATGTGCTTGTATTCATTTCCTATCTCTATGCTCTTCATATTTACTATATTGTACTATGTGTGATATTGCGTGTTCTATTCAGTCATAATGCTCGTTTTATTTGAAATGCACAGGAAATGTTTGAAATTCTCTTTCGTTTTACCTCGACATAGGTAGGAGTTATTGTAGACTTCACGTGTCTGTCTTTTAGGATAGATGTGTTTGCCGTGAGTGTGAGGTGATCGGTTTATCATTGAGCATTATGCTTACAGTTTTATAATGTGACGTTAATATGGCTTTGATCAGCCCTCTCCCCCCCCCTCTGCACAACATAAAGTGTGTAAGGAAATGCGAAAGGCGGGCGCCGGTCGCGATGCGGTTGGCTACATTGGTTGGATTTGGAACTATCGGCGTTGCGTGGAGCCAAGACCTTGAATATTGTTCATGTTCATTTCCTATCCCATTGCTCTTCATTTACTCCGAAATAGGCATTATCTTATCAGTATTACGTCTTGAAAAAAAGAAAAGTGAATGAAGAAGTTTTCAAGGAAGTATTGCAGCAGCTGCGTCGCGACCGCTTGCGTCGGTGCCGTAGTGCCCACTTGCCTGAAATGAACCCGACTAGACGTCCATGAATGTACCCTATAGCATCCTTACCACACTTTATGATAAAATTTTGAATATTGTTAATTCTTCCCTTTTTATATGGAACAAGGAAGAACGAGCATATCAACACAGATATTTTTAGGATATTGGAACTTTCTCGGAAATGTGTGTTTCTGTCCAATTGATTTTCCCATCGAGTCACAACAGTCCCAAAATATAAATGTGCATTTCTTCAAAATCGCTCCGGTTTTTGCAGCTTTCCCTATATTCCTGTTTAGAGTACATCGCTCTGAAACGATTCCTCCCGCACGGAACAGAGGTTGGATATCACCTATATACTGATCAACCATAATCAAAAATGACTAGGCACAGAAAATCCTTCGTTATCCATCCGCTTTCTTCCCTTTCATTTCCTTACATCTGTTTCCTTTGTTGCTTTCAAAGGGCATTGTTGCACAAAGCCTTGCTATCAACGACCACTAATGTAGTTAAATCAAGTTATTGTCTTTCGATATCTTGAAGAAATCATGTTTATTGCCGGTCTTAGTGATATGGGTTTCTCTGCTGCTGGCTATGTTTGTGGGATGCCCGTTGAGTTTGTCATCCTATAACTTAATTTATTGGCCGGTGTAGAAGGCAATTACAGATCAGGCGCTATCGCAGGATACGGGGACATTCGCTAGAAATGAGCTCTGGGCAGGAATTTTGGGGAAAGTGAGAAAAGCCCGGCGCAGTGTGGCTCGGGGGGGGGGGGCACGCACCGCGGCGCGTGCGGCAGCAGGAAATTCGTGAGCCAGGGGGAATGTAGCCAATTCAGGGGGTCGGGGGTGAGGGCAGTCACTTGACATGCGTGAGAAGCTGGAATGTTCGAGTTTACACTACTTCGCTAAGCTGCGGCGGCGACTGTACCCCCGGGCCACAATGCGCCAGTAGCCCAAAACCCGGGATACGTTTTTTGCGGTTTTAAATGCATTGTCGCCACAGTCCCCCGTATTGCCATAGCGCTCAGCCCAGTGCGATCGATGGCTAGATGCTTATCGTACTGTTCAAAGATCGAATGATTAGTCATTGCTGCAGAAACGCATTTCCTAATCTGACACTTCATTTCTGCCTAGTATGGACTGCTATGAGGAGTAGCTCTTCCGTTCTCTATTCTAGGAATCCCAAGGTTATAATTTGTAGCTGTGGGGAAGAACGCTGGGGTCTATTCCAGTTAGGGGATATTGCGGTGCACAGTCTGCTCCAATGTCAACTTGGTTCAAGAAATCCTTTAACACGACGGTACAAGAGGGCGGTATTCAATCTTCCGTGCAGGGGGATGTTATCCCCTACCTGATGCACTCTGAGGGGACAAAAAGGGGCGTAGAGGGTCTACCTCTGTGTTTCGCTGCCAGGACAGAGCAGGCGAATACTCACTGGATGAAGTTTCTTTTCCTGAGGTGTCGACCCGTGCTTAACTGTTGGAAAGTAGTATGCTAGGTCCAGGAGGAACCTTTGTTGTCCCCAGGATGATCAGAGGAGGGGGATACATCCTTGGGGGAAGGATTGATACGCTCAAGGCTTTTATCCTACGTTTTCTTCTGGTTTATTATACATGTATTGTGGTCTGGCGTTCTTTAACATGAAGTCTGTGAAAAGTAACGTTTACGTAGTGAGCCGCTAGGACTAAGCCTAGGAAGGAGGGTCAACGGACTACATGAACCCAGCCCTGTAAACCGCCTCTGCGCGTGCTTCGCGGGTCCTCTGGGCGCATGCATAGTCGGTCGTCCGACAGCAACGATCGTAACTGTCGCACAGCATTCGATGCGTATCGATCGTCAGACTTGCCTGAGTATTCGACGTTACATTACGTATCGTTACGGATCGGTCGACCGACCATGCATGGCCCTCTCCTTTCCAAGGCTCAGTCCCCGTCCTCCAATCGTCTGTACTCTAGCGCCGTCGCGAACGCATGATTTCCGTCCGGATTACGCTGCCGTACGTACTTATCACCTAAATTTGAAGGGCCTATCCCAGTAGTTGGGGGGGCATCAATGCAGTTTTTCCAGAAAGCTAGGGGGTAACCCGAGGGGGGAGTGTAGCCAGTCTACGGGGGTGGGGGTGAGGGCAGTCACTTGACATGCGTGAAAAGCTGGAATGTTCGAGTTCACACTAGTTCGCCGAGAAACTGCATCATGATGCCCCCTAACTGGAATAGACAAATTGATTTTAGGACTGGTTTTAAAAAGGGCCAAATTGGTGCTTGGTTCTGTTTTGTTTACAGTGGTCGGGGTTCGGCGAACGTGGCCAGGGTAACGATCATTATTTTTTCAACAGCTGCACTTTTCAGTTCGAATGAGCACATTTGCAATGAGATAGAGATGCAGCATGCACCGTCAGTGTGTGTGCACGTCAGACATCATCTGCTGATGTGCGGGTGGATGGGATGTGCAGGAGAATGTGAGTGGGAGGGCGAGGGTGTGTTATAGACGGCCGGCGGCCTAGCTGGTCGTTGTCGTTATCGATCCACAAAAGGCAACGACGGTGAAGGACGGCCGGGGCGGTTTTCAGCAGCAGCAGCAGCTTGAGCCCGAGCTGCAGCAGCGCGATTGTCGTGTCGTCGCACATGCGGCGACGCCGCGCGGCTCCAATGCGATCGCCCCTCCCGGCAGCCTGCGCCTCGCTCACCCTCTCCCTCATCGCGTTATCCCTGCTGAACTGGCCGCTCTGCTGACAGTGACACTGCTGTCTCTTTTTCTCAATTTCGGCGTAATCATAGGACTCATATTGTAAAGGTATTTTGTAGTAATTTATTGTTCAGATATGCTTTCCATCTGTTTGATATTAGGCGGTGTATATATGTGATAAACTCGTTTTCGCTAATCGTTATTTTTTTCGCGTTGTTGTTGAAGTCTTGATGGTGCTAATGAGGCCATTTTATATTCCTTTCCTTCTTCATGTGGTATTTGGGAATCGAGGCGTAATGTGGCGGGGGGGGGGGGGCACTCTGTAAAAAGGCCTCTAGGACTAAGCCTAAACAGCAGGGACGAACTCCGGAGAATACGAAAATTGCTTCCGTACACCGGAGTTCCTCCCTCTTCAAAAGCTTAGTCCTAAAACGGAGCGTTTCCGTGATTTTGACGCGATGTTACGTGGTGCCCCCCCCCCCCGAACCACATTGCGCCGGAATCGAACAGTGAATGTTATCGATTAGCGGAGAAACTGAAGCTTGGCAGGTTTACTTTAGGTTTTCTCCAACCGCGAACTAGTTATCTTTGCACTGAGTTTGGGTGTTATGTAAATACCACGAGTTGGCAAAAACTGGTATCGTACTCGAGCAACAATGAAATTGTTTTCGCAGGGTTTTGCCGTGGCGCAGGAATTGCTTGAGATTAACATTATCGACAATTCATGTTCCACGTTAGTGCATGAGAAGAATCACTGTATGATATTAGGGTTTACCAGTAAGAGGGGCATTGCGGTACCCAGCTCTATGCCAGTTTGGTTCGGAGGAGTCCTTAAGAGGTACGAACTGCTATCGGCTTTATTCTTGCGTCATTTCTCCAGCTTTTTTATATTGTACGCGTTTTTATGCTGAATTACATAAAGCTCTAGGAAAAGTAATAGTCACTTAGTGAGCCGCTAGGACTAGGCTTAGGATTCGGAGGAAGGAACCCACCCAGGCAAAATGAAGGTTGACGGACTACTTGAACTCAGCCCTTTACCTCCTCTGCGCTCTCTAGCGGGTCCCTCTCCTCTCCAAGGCTTAGTCCTAGGGCATTCTCTAATCGTCTGTGCTCTAGCCATCGCGGCAGGACCATTGAGGAAAAATCAAGTAAATTGCTGTACGCCACTACGGGGTTCTACCCATTCAAGGCTTAGTTCTGAACGTTCACTATGAAAGAAAATGATATTTATGGTTTCAAACCTCTTAA